TTGTGAGCGGCCTCCAATAAAGCCTTTTGGAGGACCTTGCACTGGTAAATACCATCCTCTAAACTAGCTAAGGCAAGTTCTTCCTTATCATCCTGGGTTTAAATGTGTGATCACAGCCAAAACCTCTTCATTTAAACACTAAAGACATAAGTAAGAAGTGGCTGGTACCTGTGTGCGTCCTCGTGTGGGCCTTCAGATGGGAACTTTTAAAGTATGTCTTGCCACATCCTGGGTGGCTACAGATGTGACTTCTTATCCTTGATGAGTCAATCTGAGGAGTGACTTTTGCTGCTGAAGGGGAAAACCCAGGAGCAGGGGCAATGGGAGAGAGTCTGGTGCCATTCGGGCTCACCACTGGAGGCTTTGAACTTTGCACAACGGGCTGGGGTACCACAAACATGACGGCGCCTTTGGGGACTTGTGTGCCCATGAACACAACAGGGGGGCAAACGGCTGGTGGCTGGCTGGGAGGAGTGCTGGGAACGACTGTTGTCACAACAGGGTTGCTGGCAGGAAGGGGAACCATCTGGCAGATGACTGGCATAGGTGGCACTCCCCCTGCAGATACTGCAGGTGGAGAGACCAACACTGACTTCTGCTGTGGGGACACGGCGGCTGGCTGAGACCTGCAGATGACCGTCTCTGAGGAAGGCACGGAAAAGTCATAAAGTGCAGCACTTGCTTTCTCATCAACATCTGCCACTGTGTTTCTCTCACATTTGGATCTGTTTGGTGACACAGCGGCACATGGTATGTTCTTTCTTGCAGCCTCAACAGTTAGGTGGGTTCTTCTTCTAAAAGAATTGTCCTGATAGTTGAGGATGCTGGCTGCTTTCACTGGGCAGGACTGGTGGTTACACAGTTGGGCATCAGCTGTATGACGAATCACACTTGTTGCCTGAGCTTTGGGGAGTTTGGGGGCAGATACTGGGCTCTTTTCTTCCTCTTTGAAAGGTGCAGCAATGTGAGGTCTGGCAGTATCTGAGAGTGACTTGAAGTGTACAGTAGATGGCGCTGGTGCCATCAGATTTGACACTTGAGAGGGTTCAAAGTCAGAAGGACTGTAAGGTGGAGTCAAACACTAAAGAAAGGGGAAATATGTAAGCATGAGAAATCTACAGTTTATTATGTAAATTTTAAGAAATTCTGTAATGTACATCTATCTTAAAAACAATAATACTTACAAATGCTGGGATTGTATGAAAATCAGGTGTTCCAGGAAGCAGATTCTCTTCCTCTGACAAATCAGATACTGGTGTAACCGGTCTGTTTTCAACGTATTTCTTAAAGTCAGACTTCCAACTGCAGCTCATTGACATAAGTGCTTCTACAGCTTCAAAATCACTTTTCTCTGCAGTTTTGTTCCAGGAATACATACTCTCTTTTGGCCGTTCAGAAATCATTTTCATTCTTTCTTCCTATAAAAACAAGATGAAAGTTTATAAGCATATTTTTTGTCATCCAAATGACACACAGAGATATGAACAAATACTGTTTTTTTTTTTTTTAAACAACTCACACAACTTTCCAAGTTAAAATCAGAAATAATTTTCCTCTCACACCTACTATGATACTTAGGAAGTTCAGCTACGCTTGTTAGGTAGGTAACCCAAACCTCACAGTAGTGGCAATAAAACCTTCCTCATTCTTTCTCTAACACTTAGACTTTAACACTGATATCCTTTCATGGGAGAGAGGCACACCTAGTCCCATTAAGGGGACTAAAACGAAAATTATCAATGCATTTGTGATCCAAAAAGAGAAGTATTTGGCTAAGAAGAAAAAAAAGTGTTTTATAAAGACTTTCCAGAGTAGCTACCTGCAACTAGAGTCGGACAAAATAAGGGAGAGTGCTGCGAAAAATTTATCTTTTTAAAATATTACAGGTATGGTATGAGGTCTTTTGAGGTACAAATTCCTGATAGAAAAAAAGAAAGCCAAAACCTTCTAATAAAGACAGAATTTAGTAGAGCTCTGGCCTGTTGCTCTGGGTCTGAACTTTGGAAAGTCACTTTGCACTTTGGGATAAAAATCAAAAGATAAGGGATCCTCAGGGTATCTTTCAAGTTAAAATTGTACTATTTAAGATCTAAAGTTATTTGGTAACTTGATTATGGTGAAGAAAAATCAAGTGAAATATATAGAAAAAAATTCCAACGCTTATTTTAATTAACTTTCAACCTATTCATATTTGTGCTCCCTTTTACTGAATCTATTTGACACAATGGTTTGCCATGCATAACTACAACTTAGCTAATGCAAAATTACTAAAAACTGGATAATCAAAAAATGTAACATTCTACTTGGAATTTGCGAAAACCGACTTTAAAGAGTGAGCATAATCAGAGTAGAATATATTTTAATTCCTTAAAGAACTGCTTGATGACAAAACAGCACATGTTTTGCACTTATGTGTAGACCTCCTACCTAATGTTTTATAGTAAACTTCTTTGAACTACACTATAAAAAAAGGTACTACCCACTATTTCTATTTTTCATTAAAAAAAAAAAACCGTTCAGACTTGTTTGGTCAAAGCAGAGATTGTGTAAAAATACCAAAAAAAAAACCACAAAAACCCTTCTTTACGTTGCAAGGGATTATCCTCAATACTAGTTTTTCAAAAATGCATGATACTTTCGTGTTGAAATCCTGACAACGAGCCACTGCTCTTGAAATATCGCTAACAATGCAATTGCATAATCGCGCCCGCCTTTATGTAAGCTGCAATGGACAGCGCGCGTGTGTGTAACAGCCCCAAGACGCCAATGCAAAGAAAGGAAAAAAGAAAGGCAGGCGGCAGGGAAGGAGAGCGTGAGCTGGGAAAGACAGGAAGGGAAACAGGGAGGGGAGGAAAGGGAGTGGGGCGCGAGGCAGGAAAGGGAAGCGCGGGCGGAGGCGCTGGCGGGGGAGGCAGACGAGGGGCGGGGGCGGACGGCGGGGGAGATCCTCGCTGGCCGGGACCGGCGGATGGGGCCGCCCTAACCTCAATGAGGCTCGCGGGTGAGTCACTGGGAACATTCCTCGCCGCTCGCACGTCCCCGCGTCCCTGCCCCCGCCATTGGCCGGCCGGCTCGGCGGCCCGGGCCCGGATTGGCTGTGCGGCCCGGGGCGGGGGCGTGGGCGAGGAGGGGGCGAGGCATGTGAACAAAGCGTGATCAGCGGCTGCTCCGGGAGGCGCAGGAAACGTGAACTGGGAATTGCCGCGCCGTCACCTTTCCCCTACTTCCTGAGCCTGCGGGCCCCCGCCCGCGCCCGACCCGGGGGAGGGGCCGCGGGCGCCGCCGCCAACCGCCCGGCCGTGCGCGCCGGGCCCTCGGGGAGGGGCGGGGCTGCGGGCGCCAAGCTCCGGGAGGCGCCCGCCCCTTCCAGCTCCCCGCGAGCCGCCGTTCCCTTAGGAACCGACAGCGGGGCCGGGCCTCGCTCCCGCCCCTGGCGGAGGCCGGGGCTGGGTCACTCGGGGACGAGAAGCTCCCCGGGCGCACCCGCTCCCGACCCACCCCGGCCTCCGCCTCAGATGCGGGAGGAGGAGCCAAGTCCCCGCGGAAACCCGGCCGCCGCCCTCCTCCCGCCAGCAGCCCCCGGGAACCCGGCCGAGCCCTCGGCACTTCCCGCCCACGCGGCCCACGGGACCTCAGACCACCCCGTCTCTCCCTGCAGACGCGGCGCCCCCTCCCCGTGGCTTCCGGCAGCTCCAGGCCCCTCCCGCCGTGCGTCTCCACGGGTTCCCAGACGTGCAGCCCCCACAGGCCCCGGCTCCAGACGAGCGGCCCCCGCGTCTCGCGGCCCAGCTCCCCCCGCCCACCATCCCGCCCCAGCTGCTAGGTCCCGCTTCCCACCCTCCCGCCCCCGAGGCGGCTCCCCGCCTCTTCCAAGGGGTCGTCAGAAGGCGGCCACCTGCCCCTGGGGTAAGAGTCCCCCTCCAGACGTCTGGAGGAGCAACTCGTCCCCCAGGGCGGTCGGCGGGCCCTCGTGTCATCCCCTGCGCCGACGCCAGGCGCCCCTTCCCCCAGCCCCCGGCTATCTGCTGAGCAGCCCCAGTCTTCCAAGCGTGGGTTCAGACCCCCAGGATGGGTAGCCCACTAGCCTCTCCTGTGGCCACCCCGCCTCCCGAGTGCTTGCGAGCAGCCCACTCCTACCCTGGCTCGCGTTCCCGAGCCAGACCGGGCATCTCTCCTTGGTGCCAGGTGCAGGGTAGCCCCCTTGTCCCTCCCACGACTCCCCTTCCATGCCGTACCCCAACCTCGCTGCAGGGCAACAGCCCCCTCCTCACTCCTCCCCCGCTCCACAGTCATCCTCCTCCTCACCAGCCCTCTCGGGTCTCCATGCGGAGTTGCCCCTTCCCCTCCTCAGTACATCTACAGCAAGACCCCTGTCCCCGTTTCAAGATCCGAGCCCCCGGCTTCGACCCCCTCCCCAACACACACGCCCTCACTAATGCCCATAGTCTGCAGGCAGGAAGCCCTTTCCTTCCCCACGACTCCGCTGCAGCCCGGATTCTCAGGCGTGGCTGATGTCAGGGGCTCGGGGTTCGCGCCCCCTTTGACCCCCCCAGACATGACCAGGCGAGGAAGCACAGGGGCATCCCCAAATGACTTACCGCAGTCTGCTGGAGAGAGGCACCGAAGTTGAGCATGGTTGGCTGCTTGGCCGCCGGCGGCAAGCTGACTGGCTGCTAGGCTGCTGGCTGCTTGGCCACAGACGGGCGCCCGGAGACACTCGACGTCGCTCCCGCCGCCGCCGCGCTCAGCGCCGTCTGCCCCCTCCCCATTCAGGTAGCCGCTCAGCCTGCCCCGCGCTGCGGGCGGGGGCGGGGGCGGAGCCTGAGGCCGGCCAATCAGCGGCAAAGGTGTGTGAGGCGCCGGCCAATGGACTCGCGGGGCCACGCGTGATCAGCGACTGCCCGGCAGCGTGAAGCTGGTGTCAGTGGAGCGTGTACACAATCCCCGGCAGCGTGTTCCCTCGGCCCTGCCCGGGGGAACTCCAGAGGCCACCTGATTCAGTGACGCCCCCCGCCCCTTGCCCACCCCTCGCCCACTCCTCGCCCCTCGTCCCCCGCCCCTGCCTAGAGAGGCGGTGCAGCGGGCGGGGAGGCGCGGCGACGGCAGCGCGCCCAGGCACTGCGGAGGGCCGGCCCCACGTGGGGGGTGGGGAGGGATGCCCGCTCCGCCCAGTCCCCTCAGCGCCGGGCCTCGTCTCAGCCCGCCACGGAGTGGGCGGGACGCCAGGCAGGCGGGGGACGCGGCGGCTGCCAGCCAAGGGGCCGGAGCCAAGAGATTTGCATTGGAAGCGCCATCCTCTTGCGCGTCTGATGAGGAAGCAGAACCCGGTGACCGACTGAGCTGCATTTCTGAAGCATTTGCTGGGTTTTGCCTCGCTGAGCCTCGGGGAGCACTGGGGCGCGGGATGGGGGACCCTGTCACGGAGCCGACACCTGCTCGCGAGCCCCTCCCCCGCTCACGCCGTGCCGCGGGCTCGCCCTCCCCATCTGCAGTGCCCGCAGCGCCTGCCCGCCCCGCCCATCCTTCCTCCTGGGCAACCCAGAGGATGGCGTGAGGACTCCTGGAAGCCCCAGGACGGGACCAGGGGCGTGGTAGGGAGCCGTAGACCCGAGTTTTTATCGTCCTCTGGTGCCGACACTCGGCTGCGGAATCGAGTTTGAGCTCGGTGTAGCTGAAGTTTAAATTGTAGCTGTTTCAAAGGTAGACCCCATCTCACCCCCAACCCCAACCAAGACCTCTGGAAGCGTCCTGCCTGGAAGCCGCTTGTGGGGAGGGCTCTCCTAGGGTGTCCAGGCTCCCGCTGGAGCACGCCTGGAGGTGGTTTGTCGGCCGTCCCCAGAATCCGCCACCACTACCGCCCCACCCACCCGCTCCAGCCGGTGGGAGGCAGGCTGGGTTTCTGAAAGGAAGCCGCTCGCGTGCTGCGCCCGGGGCTGGGGCTGGGCTTTCTGATCAGGAAAGCCCATGGCTCTGCTTTGGCACGGATTTGCCCCCTTTTGGCCGTTTGTGCGCGATCACAGCAGCTGTTGTTGGAGAGGAGAGCAGTGATAACGGGGCTTAAAGCAAATCGGAGATAAGATCTCCGATTTAGACAGGCTGAATTTAAGGCAAAATTCACTGTCCCTCCTGCGAGCACTCACGTCTCTGTAACTGAAAGGCTGGTAATGCAAATAGCATTTCTATCCCAATAATCACAGAATGAGCCTAGAAAGGGAATTAATTGTTTTATAAATTGCCAATGCTATGCGTATCTTCCGATGTTTTTTTTTCTAATATATCTAAGACCCAGGCTAGCGAACAACAGCAATAATAATGATAATACTGTTGGCCAGGACCAGAGAGGCCCAGGGCTGCGGGGATGAGGACGGAATGGCCTCCTGTCACCGCCCCTCCTGAGTCTGCTGGAAAGGCGCCAGCTCAGCAGCCCGGCAGCTCTTCCTGCCTCTCCCCACCCCATGTCCCTGCTTCTGTCTGCGGGGTGTCCCTCCCCACAGGCTTCCTTCCGCCTGGGCTGTCCCATCCTGTTGACCCAGCCTGAGGGCTGGAGCAGCTGGCCCTGGACACTGCGGCGGGAGAGGAAGCTCCTGTGTGCCCCTCCGCAGGCCTACCTTCCTTCCTGTCGGGGCCCTCCCCTGGGGTGGCTTCTGCCAGACCCTCCAGGCGAGAACCCTGTCCCTTCCTTACGAATGTGGGGCCTGCTGGCCTGGCTCCCCAGCGGGCTGAGAAGCAGGGAGCGGTCTTGACTTGTGAGAGTGATTCAAAACAGGAAAGAAAAGAGAAAAGGGGTAGGAGGAACAGTGTGGTGGTGGCACAATTCCTAGAGATTCAGAGAAAGATGTTTCCCGGGCTCCTCAGATTCAACATATCCAAAACTAAAATTGCTGTTTCTACTCCTTCCCGGATGCAAGCCTTGCCTCCTTCCAGCCTTCACCTTCTCTCTCAAAGCCCTGGATCTGATTGGTCCCCAGGACCCAGCAGTTTTGCCTCAGAAATGTCTCTGTTCTCATTTTCCATTTCTACCCTGGAAATGTTGCACTGGATCAATCTGTCATCAAGTCTTGCTCGGATTAAACAATCTGCAATCCCCCCACCCAACCTCCACCCACACTCCAGCTTATTTTCCACTGCCCAAGCTCCACACTGTGACTGGAACGGCTTTTTAAAAGTCATTATCCAATCATAACATTCTCTCCTTAAAAATGATCTGTGGCTCCTGTTGCCAGGAGATGAAAGGCCATTCAGTCTGAGCTATCCAGTCCGCCTCCAACTATAGGACTTTCACAACCCTCTCCACCTCATCTCCCACCCAGACTTACCCTTGCCCACAGCCACAGCAAACTGCTTGCTGTTCCTCAAACATATGGTGCCTTTTCATGTCTCGGTGCCACATCCTCATTCAGGAAACACTGTGTTGTGCATGCCTTTGTTCGTTTATCCACTCCATTCGACAACTATTTGCTGAGCATCTACTGTGTTCTAGGCACTGTTCCAGGCACAGCAGCAGTGAACAAGGCAGGCCAGGGGAGACAAAGATAAGTACACGTCAAATATACATACAGACACACACACACACAAGTACCATGAAGGTAAGTTCACTGCAGTGCACCAAATTATAACAGGGTGATAAGAGTGTGACTGGGCAACTGGTTTGGTATGAAATATAGGAGAAGCTTGCTCCAAGGAGATGTTTAAGCTGAAAACCTCATGAGAGGATAGAAGGATCCCAGGCAAGTGCACCTAAGTAGAGGGAGCAGCTAAGGCAGTCTTATAGCAGGAAAGAGCTGGCCCCGTGGGATGCAGTGTGGCTGGAGGTGCAGAGGGTGTCAGGGAGAGTGGGAGGGGATGAGGTTGGAAAGTAAGGCAGGAGGAGCTAGGCTACTGAGGAAGTTATAGGTCATGGTTTGAAATGGGGATTTTTTTTCTTTCTTTTTTTTTTTTCAGACAGAGTCTTGCTCTTTCACTAGGCTGGAGTGCAGTGGCGCGATCTCGGCTCACTGAAACCTCTGCCTCCCAGGTTCAAGCAATTCTCCTGCCTCAGCCTCCTGAGTAGCTGGGATTACAGGCACACGCCACCATGCCCAGCTAAGTTTTGTATTTTTAGTAGAGACGGGGTTTCACCATGTTGGCCAGGAGAGTCTCAATCTCTTGACCTCGTGATCTGCCCTCCTTGACCTCCCAAAGTGCTGGGATTACAGGCGTGAGCTACTGTGCCCGGCTGAAATGGGGATTTTCTAAGTACAAGGGGAGGCCATGTACAAGAAATGTACATTTGCATCCCTGAAGGCCTCCTTTGCCTTCTTGGCTTTCAAGATCTTTGTACCACTGTCAGCTGGTTGAAGTCGTCCTTGATAACACCAGGATGAATTGATGGTTCTCCTTTGCTCCCAGGGTACATTGTCCACACCTTCATGCTGGGAGTGGAGCAGTCATTTTGCAAGAAACATTTTTTACAATACTGAATCCTGCCTATGCTCCACCCAGATCTGAACTCCTGAGATGGTGATCATGTATAATCGTCTATTTTTTTTTAGCCAGGGTCTTGCACTGTCACCCAGGCTGGAGTGCAGTGGGGTAATCACAGTTCACTGAACCCTCAGCCTCCTCTGTTCAAATGATCCTCCCACCTCAGCCTTCTGAGTAGTTGAGACTATGGGTGTCTGGTTTGAAATGGGGATTTTCTTTCTTTCTTTTTTTTTTTTTTTTTTTTTTTTTTTTACAGACGGTGTCTTGCTCTTTCACCAGGCTGGAGTGCAGTAGCGCGATCTTGGCTCACTGAAACCCCCACCTCCCAGGTTCAAGCAAGCACTTGGCTAATTTTTTTTCTTTTTTTTTTTTGAGACGGAGTCTTACTCTGTTGCCCAGGCTGGAGTGCAGTAGTACAGTCTCAGCTCACCACAACCTTCGCCTCCTGGTTTCAAGTGATTCTCCTGCCTCAGTCTCTGAGTAGCTGGGATTATAGGCACCTGCCACCACGCCTAGCTAATTTTTGTATTTTTAGTAGAGACAGGGTTTCACATATTGACCAGGCTGTTCTTGAACTCCTGACCTCAAGTGACCCACCTGCCTTGGCCTCCCAAAGTGTTGGTATTATAGGCGTGAGCTGCTGCACCCAGCCTTGGCTGATTTTTTTTTTTTTTTTTTTTTTTTTTTTACTATTTGTGGAGCTTAGGTCTCACTGTGTTGCCCAGGCTGGTCTTGAACTCCTAGGCTCAATCTGTCCTCCTTTGTTGGCCTCCCAAAGTGCTTAGATTATAGGCATCAGCCACCACACCCAGCCTATAATCATCTTTTTGATCCAGTATCTGTTCTATACAAAGCACTCAAGTTTTTTGGTTTTTTGGTTGGTTGGTTTGTTTTTTTAATGGAGAAAGTAATTGTAGATTGTCTGAAGACCCACTGGAGTTATAGACAGGATATGTGCAAACACCTAGGTGGAAGTGTGGGTCCTTCTATGCCTTTCCCTTAGCTTGTGTCATTGTAGGGTCAGACATGGAAAACTGTCATCTTGGGCATATATATGGTGGATATGGCTTGGCTCTGTCCCCACCCAAATCCCACCTTGAACTGTAATCCCCATAATTCCCACTCGTCGAGTGGGGGACCAGGTGGGGAACTTAGGCTGTTAAGGAAAGCAGCCCAGAACATGAAGTGCCTTTGCATGCCATACTAAGGAATGTATAAGTGGAGCTTTTATCCTAAGGACAAGGGGGACCTGCTGACAGGTTGTAACAGGGATGATGGTGTAGGAAGCTCATTCTGGCCCAGTGTGGAGAATGGACCAGAGGAGTGAGGGTCTGTCACCATTGAGAAGGCTTTTGCAGGCAGCAAAGATGATGCTGGCCTAAACTAAGAAATGGTGGCTGGTCTGGAGAGGATGGAATAGAGATGCCAAGAGCAAGCAGGATTCGGTAATCAGTTGGATGTAGACATAAGGAAGAGGGTAGTAGCGAGAACTGCCAGGTTTCTGGCTTGATTCACTGTATGAAATAGAAGGGACCACAGAGACGTAGTGGGCTTTGGTGGAAAGGAAGAAAATGCCATATTTCAGGTCTGGAGCCCAACAGAGAAAGATCTAGGCTGGAGATTAAAATTTTAGCAGGGTGTAATGGCTTATGCCATTAATCCAAGCAGTTTGGGAGGCTGAGGCAGGAGGATTGCTCAAACTCAAAAGTTTGAGACCAGCCTGGGCAACATAGGGAGACCTCTGTCTCTACAAAATATCAGAAAATTAACCAGGTATGGTGGTGCGTGCCTGTAGTCCCAGTTACTTGGGATGCTGAGGCATTCATTGCTTGAACCCAGGAGGTCGAGGCTGCAGTGAGCTGAGTATAAAATGAGTATGTTGAAAACTGTAGCTGTCACTGCAGAGCTGAAAGAAACACACATGGACTGTTTCAGTTATCTCTTGCAGTACAGCAAACCACCCCAAAACCCAGTGACACTCCTGCGGACAGAAGCGGGACCATGGAGTGGAGGGGAGGCAGCCTGGGCTGCGCTTCTATTTATTGTTCATGATTCTGTGGGTCAGGGCTTGGGGATGGCTCATCTCTGCTCCATGTGGTGTCAGCTGGGCCTGCGTGACTGGGGCTGGCAGGTCCCAGGTGGCCCTGGTCATGTGACTGGAGTGTTGGTCCTGGCTGTTCATTGGGGTGCCTTGGTTTTCTCCATGTGGCCCTTCTCGTTTCACATGTTTTCTCATTATTCAGTTTAGCCTGGGCTCCTCTGCCTTGTGGCTAGTTTCCAAGAGGATAAACACAGACATTTCAAAGTCTTCTTAAGATCTAGGCATGGAAGTCCCACAGCACTGCCCCAGATTCTCCTGGTCAAAGCAAGTCACAGGCAGGGCCGGCCCAGAATCAAGGGGTAGGGTAACAGACTTTACCTCTTGATGCAGAAATGGCGGAGTCACAGTAGAAAGGTTACACGGGACAGGAAGGGTTGTGGTGGACTTTTAAGCTCATAAAATGAAGTTCATAAGATTACAAATGAAGCCATTATATTGATAACACATTTATCCAAATATAAAAAGATAGGCTGGATAAGGTGGTGCACGTTTGTGATCCCAGCACTTTGGGAGACTGAGGCAGAAGGATCTCTTGAGCCCAGGAGTTCAAGACCAGTCTGGGCAACATAGGAAGACTTCATCTCTATAAATAATAAAAAAAATAATTAACCAGGCATGGTGGCACATGCCTGTAGTCCCAGCTGCTCAAGAGGCTGAGTTGGGAGGACTGCTTGAGCCTGGGAGGTCAAGGCTGCAGTGAGCCATGATGGTGCCACCACACTGCAGTGTAGGTGACAGAGAGAGACTTTGTCTCTAAAAAATAAAAAAGATTACATATGTATACACATATATTGTGGTATTTTGGCATTATAGTGCTGCTTTAATACATTTATTAATTATTATTATTATTATTTTTGAGACAGAGTCTCGCTCTGTCACCCAGGCTGGAGTACAGTGGTGTGATCTCAGCTCACTGCAACTTCTGCCTCCTGTGTTCAAGCGATTCTCCTGCCTCAGCCTCCTGAGTAGCTGGGACTACAGGTGCGTGCCACCACACCCAGCTAATATTTGTATTTTTAGTAGAGATGGGATTTCACCATGTTGACCAGACTGGTCTCGAACTCCTGACCTCAGGTGAGCCGCCATCCTCAGCCTCCCAAATTGCTGGGATTACAGGCGGGGGCCACACTGCGCTCCACCTATTAACATGTTTAATAACAAGATCTAGTGTGGGTCTAACAACTGAAGTAATAATGAAGTTATCATGAGCATAAATGAGATTTCAAGGTCTGCAGTAGGTGTTATGCAATATGGAAATATCTGTGATTTCTCATAGTGACAAAGTCACAGGTCACAGGTCCTGCTGAGTCTAGTGTGGTTTGTTTCCTGTAGTTATAGTAAAGAAAACGCTAGGTGTGGTAAGAGGTTAGTGCAAATAAAAATGTGAAATATTTTTCTTAGTCAAGATCACAGACTCCTTGAATTCTATCCACAGATGCCTTGAGAGTCTGAGGAACCCCAGATTCAGCACCCCTGCTTAACCTGCTTTTAAGAAGAAAAAAATGGAACTTGGTAAACTTCACTCAAAGGAGAGAGCCACTAATACCTCCACCTACCTCACACCCAGTGAAGGTCTGGCTGTCCCTCTTTCTTCATCTGTTCAGGCTGCTGTAACAAAATGCTATAAGTGGGTGACTTATAAACAACAGACATTTATTTCTCACAGTTCTGGAGGCTAGAATATTTGAGATTAAGGTGCCAGCAGATTCAGTGTTTTGTCAGGGCACTGTTTCTCATAGATAGAGCTTTCTCACTGTGTCCTCAGACAGTGGAAGGGACAAAGAGGTTCCCTTGGGCCTATTTCCTGAGGGCACTAATCCAAGGCCCGCATGACCTAATGACCTCCCAAAAGGCCCCAGGTCCAAGTACCGTCATCTTGGGAACTAGGATTTGAATCATAAATTTTGGAGGACATAAGCACTCAGACCATAGCGTGCTCTGGACTCCTAACTGAGACTTGCAGTGAAGGTAGAGAAGAAGGACTGAGGCCAAAAAGCAGTGAGCATTTTTGGTCCCAAGCCAAATTTGCCATATTTCAGGTCTGGAGCCCAACAGAGAAAGATCCTGAGGGCCGCAAGACTTGCAGACCTCGCCTCCAGTGGGCAGCTGGAGTGAGGAAAAACAAGGCATGGGGTGAAAGGGATATAAACAAAGTATGGCCTTGGGGGTTAAAAAGTCTGTTTTCATGGGGTTCTTCTGAATATTCTTGGGCCAGTTATTTTAACCTGCTCGCTTCAGTTTCCTCAACTGCAACGTAAGATTTACATAACTATACCCAAGGAAATCAGGGGTACTGAGAAGAGTTTAAGTGAGATAATCAATGTGAACATGTTTGGCAAAGACTGAATTAGTGCTATTCAAACTGTAATGTGCATAGAATCCCTTGGGGATCTTGCTCAAAGCAGGTTCTGCTTCAGTGATTCTGGGTTGGGCCCCAACATTCTGCATTTCTACCAAGCAGCATCCCAGGTGGTACCTAAGATGCTACTCTGAGGACCATGCTTCAAGTAGCGGGGTCTAAACTACTCTACAAATGTGCCTTATTATTATTGCCTTTTTTTTTTTTTTTTTTTTTTGAGACGGAATTTCACTCTGTTGCCCAGGCGGGAGTGCAGTGGCACAGTCTCGGCTCAGGGCAACCTCCACCTCCCAGGTTCAAGTGATTCTCCTGCCTCAGCCTCCTGAGTAGCTGGATTACAGGCATGTGTCACACCCAGGTAATTTTTGTGTTTTTAGTAGAGACGGGGTTTTGCCATATTGGCCAGGCTGGTCTCAAACTCCCGACCTCAGGTGATCCATCCACCTCAGCCTCCCAAAGTGCTAGGATTACAGTCTTGAGCCACCATGTGTGGCCCTATTATTGCCATTTTAATATTCTACCCTCTGACCCAAGGAGAATGATAGCTGAAGATAGGGAGGTAGACCCAGCTCATCTCATGAGGCCAGTCTTCTGCTCAGCAGGACACTCTGGTCTTGCAACTCCACCTCCCCTTTGCTGCCTACCACCACCAGGTCATGATGAAGACGGGCCACAGCCAACTCAAAGAATGCTTCAAGCCAAGTCAGTAGAAACTAGTCAAATATGGGGGGTGGGGGCAAAGACTGAATGGGATATTTGTGCAAAAAAAAGAAATGTATGCAGAAAATATTTTGCATTTGTAATGCAGAATATCTCACAAAATTCCCAGAGAATACAACATATGTTTCATCTTCTGGTTTTTTAAGTAAGATCAATCATTCCTGCACAATTCTTCGAAAGCATCCCCTTTCTCATGCCTCTCATGAAGTGAAGAGCCTTTGATAGCTCCTGTTGGTTACATTTACTCTAAGCTTCTGTCTAAGAATGACCAGGAGCAGAAAGGTCAGTGAAGCTGAGAATGTGGAAGATATTATAGAACTCTTGGGCACTGTTGGAGGGAGTGTCAACTGGAACCAGTACCACCACTTAGGAAAGCAATCTGGCTTTAGACAGAAGCTTAGAGTAAATGTTTGACTATGTTTGACTAGTTTCTACTGACTTGAGATGTTGAGATGAAGCATGCACATATCCTATGATCTGTGAAAAACTCTGGAATATATATTTTTTCCAAGGAAGTTCTCCCACAAGTTCATAAGGATGCTGGGGTAGCTGGATGTTGAAGGCAGCTTAGGTGCTTATCACTAGAAAAAGGGATTAATAAAATATGGCAGATGTGGACTGCTGAATACTAAGTAACAGTAAGAAATAACCAACTGGAATTATACTGCAGCACTTTAGATCTTTAAAATCCAGGGGCAGCCAGGAACAGTGGCCCATGCCTGTAATTACAGCACTTTGAGAGGCTTGGATGGGAGGATTGTATGAGCCCAGGAGTTTTCAGATCAGTCTAGGCAACATAGTGAGACCCTGTCTCTACAAAAACTAAAAAACTAAAAAAATAGTTGGGTGTGGTTACAGATGCCTGTAGTCCCATATACGTGGGAGACTGAAGTGGGAGGATCACTTGAAGCTTGGAGATTGAGGCTGTAGTGAGCCAAGATCGCATCACTGCACTCCAACCTGGGTGACAGAGTGAGACCCTGTCTCAAAAAACAAACAAAAGAATACCGAGGGGTAAGGGAAAAACATAGGAAATAGGAAAGGATATATATAGTACGTTATCATTTTTAAAGACATCTCACCTAAAATAATATAACTTTTGTAAGAAGGCATCCATGCATATCTAAAGATATATTAAACATATTAAAGTAGGTGCTATGAGTTGAAGGAAATATAATTAGGGTTTAGAGGTATAAAGGAAAAATAAAAAGTAAAATAAGGGAAGAACTTCGTTTGGATTAATGATGAAGTACTTAAAAACTGAGCTTTTAATTCAAATTTCTTCACCTGCGGTAGAAAAATATTAGAGCAAAATCACTCCTCACTCCCCAAACCCTCTTCTACCACAATGTGTAAGGGTCTTCACAGTCCATCCCTGAATGACCTAAACCAAAGCTAGTTCTCCATCTTGGGTGCCATCTTCCTCACCATCACCTCACAACAGGTCTTTAACTCTTCCTCTTTGACATTTTTTGTCTAGAATCAACTTCTTTTCATCTTAGCTTCTTGCTACATCCACCTTCAATATGTCCCTAGCAGACAGGGCTGAGTCCCGGTGTGATGTGGACAACTTCAGATAAAGATGTATTAGGGCCAGGTGCGGTGGCTCATGACTGTGATCCCAGCACTTCGGGAGGCCAAGGCAGGGGGGTTGCTTGAGTCCAGGAGTTCAAGACCAGCCTGGGAAACATGGTGAAACTCCATCTCTACAAAAACCACAAAAATTATCCAGGTGTGGTGGGATGTGCCTGTAGTCCCAACTACTTGGGAGGCTGAAGTGGGAGGATTACTTGAGCCCGGGAGGCAGAAGTTGCAGTGAACCAAGATCTTGCCACTGCATTCCAGTCTGAGTGACACAGCGAGACCCTGTCTGGAAAAAAAAAAAAAAAAGTTAAGATGTGTTAGATCAGGGACTTGTCTTCTGTGGGTTTGGTGACACCACTGATTTGACATAGAACCTTAGGAATTCCCTTCATTGTGCTTCTCTCCCCTGTAGCACATTCCACACAGCATGATCATCTGTAATTCAGGTGTCTCTGTTCTCCGTTAGACCGTAAGTTCATGGAGGATCAGAACCTTAGTTACTGATGTCCACTGCCCAGAACTAATCACATAAGAAGCCTGTCTCTAATAATGTTTGAGAAATGAATGGATTCCCCAGTCCCCTGAATCAGATGATGGAACAATGTGGCCTCTAACTAACTTACACATCTAATTCAAAACTTTAATTGGTTGTAGTTTCAAAGTACTTGTGTAATGGTCCTAGAGTATGCCACATAAAAAATATGCAATAACAAGGAGAGTGTTGTCCTAGTTCTGAAGTCCTGGCATAAAGTACCATGTCCATATTTCCCTTTCCTTCAGGACGCTGAGAGAATGTATGTGTGCTCCAGGCAATGACTGGATGAAACAAAAAAGAGAGTCTGGATATCATTAAAGTGTTCGACTCTTGGATTCCTACGGTTTGGGATGGGAAGCAGAACTGGACTGTAGGTGAGTGCCCGTGCAGGAAAATAGTGGTTATACATCACTGGCACCTTGCCTCTTTCAGAAAAATCAAACCTGTCTTCTGTGCAGTCAGATCTGGCGTGCCCATTACCAGCAGGGTTGGATATGTGCCTGGTTGGCTGCTTATGGGAAAGTCTGCATTTTTTCCACTATTGGAGTGATAGATACACGCAGCAGCGGCCACACCCACCTCCAGCCAAACTGTACAGCACATGACTCAGCATCCTGGGAATCTCCGGCCTAGCTCGGACTACAGGTGCACCCGTCCTGATTGGCACATTCTCCAGGAGGTGATCAGAGCCTCTTGAGATCTGGAGGGAGTATGGCCTGGGAGTGGGGAGGAGCAGGCTGTCATGCCTGTGGGTAGAGGTCGCAGGCTGTCATAACCAATGTGGATGCAGTGCCCAGTACAATGCCTTGGGTCTCTGGAACTGGCTTTTCTTGTACTGATCACTTTCTCAAAAGGAAATATTAATTTTAAAATGTGCTTTTTCATGACTGCCTTTGTCGGACAAGGTGAAAGGCAGTGGTGAAAAAGCACATTTTAAAGGACAGGACATTGTTTCACACCCAGCTAAGTGGAATGAAAAGACCCTCACAGCCCAAGGGAGAGCAAGTAGGTGGTGAAACGGGTTCAGCTAGGGCCTGCCTCTAAGGTCCCAGCAGCACAGCAGCAGCGGTGTTCAGTTCCAGAAGTCATTTGTGGTCTGCTGGGACTCCGGGTGGTTGGCTTCTGCTGCCTGCTGCTCCAGGATAGAATCCAAACTCCAAGCATAATGCAGAACGTTTCAACTTAAATTTGGGTATACGGCTGCTGCGGAAGTGGTGTTTGTTCCCTGGTGCATTCAGGTTTGAAAGCTGCCGTCTGTCCAGCTGTAAGCAGGCTGGAAGGACTAGGAACGTGCTGCTCAGAGGTTGTTTACCTCCCCTGTTCCCCACTCCTGAGTCTCCAACCCTCCCTCTCCTCCCTTCCTCCCCCAATCCCGGGTCCCCACCCCACCCCTCCTCCTCCCCGACTCCTGGGTCCCCAGTCCCTCTACCCTCCTCCACTCCCTTCCCTGTCCCTGGCCTTCCCTCCCCTCTGATGCTCCTCCCACTTTCCTGGGTCTCCAGGTTCCCTCCCATCTCTCCCCAACCCCATCCCCACCCAGTCCCCAGCCCTCCCACCCTCCTCCGCCCACTGCCTGTGGCCTGAGTTCACAAAACTCCCTTCACCCTTTGGGGCAGTGGGCTTTAATAATTCTTGGGATATAGCAACACTAGAAAAGGAATAGGATTAACTGGGAGGAAAAAGTGGAAAGATGAGGAAAAGGGCCGTAGTGGAAGGTAATATAGGTCCTTTAGCAACAGCAAAAATTAGGAAAGATTAGTGTATCTCAACCTTGGCTGCATGTTAGAATCACTTGAGGAGGTCTTAAAAATCACCACTTCAGGCTAGGCACGGTGGCTCATGCCCATAATGCTAGGACTTTGGGAGGCTGAGGCAGGTTGATCACTTGAGTTCAGGAGTTTGAGGCTAGCCTGGCCAACATGGCAAAACCCTGTCTCTACTAAAAATACGAAAATGAGCTGGGCATGGTGGCCCACACCTGTAATCCCAGCTACTTGGGAGGATGAGGCTGGAGCACCCTTTGAACCTGGAAGGCGGAGGTTGCAGGGAGCCAACATCGCACCACTGTATTCCAGCCTTGGTGACAGAGTGAGATTCCATCTCCAAAAAAAAAAAAAAAAAAATCCCCACTTCAGCCACATCCAATACCAATGAAGGTGAGACTCAAGACGTGTGTAGTTTTTAGAGCTCTCCAAAGAGATTCTAATGTGCTGCTAAGGTCGAGAACCGTTGCTCCAGATTCAGACAAGACATTAAGGAAAGGACGGTGGCTCTGTTTGTTTCTTTCTGCTGGTTAGCTGAAGAATTAGACAATTGTCCAAACGATCGCTGGTGCTTGTGCACACTCTGTGTCTTACCACATCTGACGATAATTGCTATCAGGCAAGGACATTTAGTATGAATCCACTTAAAAAGAGAATCATGATTTTGTAATCAATGTGAAAAATGTTTGATTGGAACTTCCTACTGAGAAGTGAAATTAAAAGATATTAAAATATATTTTCTTAGTTTAACAAATCTAAATTATAATTGCAACTATTCATTAATTGTTACAAAATGAATTATATGTTAGTTACTTTTCTCAGTATTCATTTCCTAACAGAATTCTATATGATGACATGTTTCACTTGGACTTTTAAACCCTATCGTAGAAGAGGTGGAGTTTTTTGGTTTTGTTTGTTTTGCAAAATAAGAGTTTATCAGCGTGGGCAACATGGCAAAACCCCATCTGTATGAAAAAGTACAACAGCAATCAGCTGGGCATGGTGGTGCCTGTGATCCCAGCTACTTGGGAGGCTGAGGTCAGAGGATCGCTTGAGCCCAGGAGGTGGAGGTTGCAGTGAGCCAAGATCATGCCACTGCACTCCAGCCTGGGCAACAGAGCAAGACCCTGTCCCAAAGAAAAGAAAAAATATAAAAAAAAGTTTATTAGCTTTCCTAAAAGCCTTTTTTTATTCTTTGATATTTAAATTATTTTCTTTTGAAGGGCCAAGTGGCACCGTCTTTCTCAGCACTCTGCTCTTCAATTGTGAACTGGTCTAAACATGCCAAATCTTCATTTGTCAATGTCTTGACAAGTATTTGTCAATTTGCCAATATTACTTTTGTCACTTTCATGAAATCCTGTATCTTTTGCAAGTTTTGCAGCTTCACTCTGAAGGCAATTTGCATAATATTTACATTACATTTGCTGAATTTTTACAATGGCAAGAGACTGACCCACAGAAACCTAATCAGTGGGGCAGTAGTGTTAACTGAAGTGATGTTTTAACCTAATCGGTGGGGTAGTAGTGTTAGCTGAAGTGATGTTTTAATAGGGACCAGTTTTAAAAGTGACTAATATATTCACTAATATGTGTATTATGAATATATTATATCACTAATATATGTATTGTGTATATAATGTATATAATATATTCACTAATACATGTATTGTGAATATAATATATTCACTGTATATTAACTAATATATGTATTAGTGAATATTTTCACTACTGAACTTCCTAACTTCAAGGAATTGGATAATGAACACCTGAGTAATGATAAATAGACATATACTTATTGCATATTGACCCATATATACACAAAAAGGTAACTGTGCACTGTAAAGTATATACTAGTTAACACAGATTATTGTACTTTGTACGTAAATGTGGCATTTCAGACAATGTTACTATTTCCTGTACCTGAAGGAATAGGCATATTAACTGAGTTTTAGTCAGTGTGTCTTCACAAAGGAAGTGACTGCTAGTTTTTCTATATAGTAATCATAATAATCTCTAATACTTATTGAGCTAAGGCTCTGCTCCAAGCCTATTACCGTATTTACACTAGCTCTCTGACCAATATGAATAATGCTGGGCATGGTGGCATTAGGTACATCTAGGTTGTAAATGAGTTCACATGGATGCTCTATGTTGCTAATGCCTCTTGAAATAACTGGAAGCATTCTGCAACTGGTCTTCACCTGTAGAAAGCCTCTCTCCTTAGTCCAGCCTGAAAAAGCATTTCCTTGGCCCTGGACAGGAAGATAGCTCTGTATATATGGCTTTCTGGCCTGAACATTCATCTCAGAACCCTGAGCTGGGTTGGACTCCTCTGGCAGCAGTTCAGACCCCTCCCAGTACAGCCCCTTAGCCCCGCTTCTACACCCCAGTGCTCAGATGTCCACCACCTCCCGAGGCACCTTGTTTTCTTTTTCTTTTTAAACAATTGTAATTGTTCAAAAGTTTTTCCTTGTGCCAAGATTTTTCCACCCACCCCACCAATCCCAGTTCCGCTGTTGGGGAATTACTACCCCAAACCAATAGAATTCCTTTTCTTTCTTCTTTTTTTTTTTTTTATAGGCAAAGGCTCACTCTGTTGCCCAGGCTGGAGCCTAGTGGCTCAAACACAACTCACAGCAACCTCAAACTCTTGGGCTTAAAAGATCCTCCCGAGTAGCTAGGACTGCAAGTGCACACCATCACACCTGACTAATTTTTTTACTTTTGTAAAGAAGAGATCTCATTATGTGGCCCAGGCTGATTTCGAACTCCTGGCCTCAAGAGATCCTCCCATCCCTGTCTCCCAAAGCGTTGGGATTACCAGCATGAGCCACTGCATCTGGCCTAGAATTCCTTTTCCGTGGGGATATTCTTCAAGGAGCGGAAGGCAGGGTCACCTGAACTGTGGCGAGATACTCCATGCCGTGGGTATACACCTCTGAAGCACTTGTTCAGCAGGCTGTAAACCTAGAACCAGAGATTTTACTGGAATTGAGCAGTCAACTAGTGAAATAAATTAGGACCCATTGAATAAACGTTAAACACAGGCCAATAAATTACTTGTAAAATGTTTGCCTCATCCTCCAAAACAAAGGGTGGGTTTTTCCCCCAGACACCGTGTAGAAGGTGCCTGAAGCTATTAAGGAGAATGTGATAAAGGGTCATGAGGTTAATACCCACCTCTGGGGCCTGCCTGCCTACAGTTTGAGATTCCCTCAGGGAAGTGCCTCTGCATCAGTTTGTTTTGACAGCTGACCTCTTTCTGAAGCAGAGGTGCTCTCAGAGATGGCCCTAGAGTCTCAGTGGCCACCATCTGGCTGGCTCCTCCCTTTCAGAAGGATGACAAGCTTGGTGCAGGAGAAGAAGCAGCCTCGCAGTTCTATTTCGCTGGGCTCAGATGAGGAAGGCAGGTGGACTGTGTACAGAAGGGAGGAGGCCATTTTTAGTTTCCTCCTTTTCTTATGTTTTTTGAGACGGTGTCTCGCTCTGTCACCCAGGCTGGAGTGCAGTGGTGTGATCTTGGCTCACTGCATCCTCCGCCCCCGGAGTTCAAGAGATTCTCCTGCCTCAGCCTCCTGAGTAGCTGGGACTACAGGCACCCGCTGCCA